TTAGGCATAAAACACTGCAATCTCAATAGGCATTGATTAAAGAGATTCGAAGAAGTTCAATTATTGTGTATAGAGTCGGTCTCATTGATGCCTTATCAACAATTAAGCCAAGCCGTATACAGCATACAAACAAAACGGGAAACACCAAAAGAAAAATCAAAATTCCAATCGATCAATATCAGCAGTAATGTTCTTAATACTTTAAATAAGCAGTAAATAAAGAGAGTAATGAGGTTGGTGTTGGTTGGCTGATTCAAACGGGTTCCTTGAATCCTCTATTATCAAATATCGGACCTGTATGTAAAACGGCTATTTGACTTCAACCGAGGAAGGTAATCAATCACGTTTCAGGGGGCTTTAATCATCGCTGTATGACTGTGATGATGCGAGGGGTATAGTAATATTGTATGACGTCACTAAAAGAAACCACCACCCTCGGTTGAAGTCGTAGTATTTAGCAACTACCCGTTTTACATACAGTACGCGTACGTTCAACGGACATTTAAACTAGGCTCCGCCCCTTGGATATTGTTGCTAAGGTCCCACAAAACACCTGTGTTTGTGACACACGCGCGTATTTCTAGCCCCGTTCTCTAATGGGTCAATTCTTAAGTTTGATTGACACTCCGCCAAGGTCCATTACAGAAAAGAAAATATATTTTCAATTTGAAATCAATTTAATAACACTTTTTCTATCCACTATCAATCAGCTCATCATGTAAACTACATAATAAATACACAATGTTTCAGCCATTCATTGAAAGTAATTAAGGAAACAGAAGTTAAAATCTAATATTATTTTCCCCGGTAACCACCTACACAAAAAACATCTAAAAGGGGAAAAACAGAAATATCAAAACCGATAAAAGTTAAAAACTTTTAAATACCGTCTTTTGTATTTAAAGAAGAATATTGTATTTTGTGGTTTTGTATCTTTTGTTAGACTAACCTATTCATTCATATGTCAATCATATTTCTTTAGGGTGTTATAAGAATATTTTATGACAGAAAGGTGTGATTAGTGTGGTAAGTTGTCTGGTTTGCAACAATAAAAGCATTATGCACGATAACCGTACAGTGTCAGTCGTCATTCACTCGACTGTGAATGGTGTGAATGGAATTCACTGGTCCATGAAGACCCGTTAAAATCTGTTTTGATCTAAGTTACTAAAACTGGCGACGCTAAAAGCATGTTGCACAATATAAATAGAAACTGTCTGTAGTCATTTTGTCAAATACCAATGAATGAATACAGTTTACTGGCCTAAAAACATTCCTAAAATCATTTAGCTGCGCATGCGTACGTAAATAAATACACCCAACGCGTTGACGTAATAATTGCGCTTAATACATTTAGCTTGTTTTCACACTGGTACGCTTTGAACACAGGAGGATTGAGAACATGGCCAAGGAATACGCGCGTGTTTCACAAACACACGTGTTGTCCCACAAACGTGTTTTCGTATGTTTTTGAAGTCGTTTTGTGGAAGCTTAGCAACAATAACTAAGGGGCGGGGCTTAGCAAAAAGGTCCACTGTCTCATTCCTTTATTCCGGAAATGTTCAGCGCCGTCAGCAGGGGCATGTGCATCAGACGGCATCAGTACGCGTCTAATTTCAATTGGTACACACTAAAAATTGACTGCGTAACTAGCGTAAACGCTTATGAATTTCTCTAGTGTGAATCATGTTGTGTGGTCAGCTGGTGCGACTGTATACAGTAAGAACCAGTGTCGGATCCAGGGGTGTTGAAAGGGCCCTTCCCCCTCCCCCAGGCTGGCTGGCAGCAGCAAAAAAGCATTACATCATTAAAATGAGAAATTATTAATATTATGAAGATGGCTATAACTGCAGAGTTTTCAGGAGCTATGCCACTTGGATCCTTGAAATGGAGAAGAAAACATTCCCGATTCTCCCTTATCGGACCATTGATCCTCCTGTGACACTTTACACCCATCCGCCGGCAGAAACCCCCTGGATCTGCCCCCGACTTTTTAGAGTGATAAACCTCATGCATTTGATGTTTCAATTTGTGTATCGGTATGCCTATTCTACAAAAGGACCGCCTCATTTTTATCCAATGAAAATACGTCTCATCAGCGTCATCTTCAATGGCGCCCTCAATTTAATATGAAAGTTTCGAATACACTCGAGCCCCAGGCGATGTGCATGAATTTGATTGCGTTACACTGTACTTTCATGTTTACATCAATTAGTAGTATAATAATTATTTTCGGACTTAATAATCAATAGATAAGTAATATTTGTGGCTGTAACCTATAGGCTTTCTGTATTGCAGAGCCTATTACGGGTACATTCCTATCATCAAGTTGCAGAAAGGATTGCAGAATGAAGACATGCGGACAGGGAGAAAAGCCACAAGGACCCACTAACATTATCAGATGGCAACGTCGTTTTGACATTTTTATCCACTGCTAGGCCTAGATAGACCAGGAAATGAATAGAGTATAAAAAAATGTTTCTCTAAAATAAATTGGAAACACTTTCATAAAAGAGTGCGGTTGAATAGATATCCCTTGTGGGTATGTAGCTGCGTGTTTGTTCATGAAGAGGGTGGATGTGGAATGTTGTTTGTGTAGAACCATACACCCATCACCACCGCACCATAATAGATTCTAATAACTGTGTATAATTTAAAATAATCCAATCGTCTGAATGTCTGCATCTTAAATTGATAGCAATTGAGTCGAATTGATACACAATGGATGTAGCATCAGATCGATATGCTGTTCTCCCGTACGGGAACTCTCTGGAGTTAACCTTCGCTACAACGACCTAGTTATGATTCCATTTTTCCATTTACTCTCATTATAATGCCGATAATATCTTCCATGACCATTGGTTTGGAATAATTTTCAGTCACATGTAGTTAGCTTCGCAAATCTTGACATGAACATTATTGGTAGCAAATCTCTAGTGTACATTCATTTTTTAGCGAAATGTCTCCAACTAACAATGCACTGCACACGAGACATGAAAAGAGCAAAAACTTATTTTTAACATCGCATTAGCATCATACTCACCATCACCATCCCATTTAGCATAATCATCATAATCATCATCATCATCATCATCATCATCATCATCATCATAATCATCATCATCGTCATCATCACCATCATCATCATCATCATTACTAATAGGCCATATTAGCCTTATTATTATCATTAGCACTAGTGTCATTATCATTGTCATTATAGGATTATTATTATTAATTAATATTAATATTATTATCATTATTATTATTATTATTATTATCATCATCATCATCATTACTACTAATAGGCCATATTAGGCTTATTATCATCATCAGCACTAGTGTCATTATCATTGCCATTATAGGATTATTATTATTAATTAATATTATTATTATTATCATTATTATTATCATTATTATTAGATTAGAAGGGAAGCACTGAAAACACCAATATTCAAATCTACTCCAAAGTGATGTGTTTCGCATCACGGAAACATTAATTACAAACCATAAACCACAATATCTTAAACATACTTGCGACAATGTAGATCGCCTATTTGATATGATACGCCAAATCAACAGAGAATAAACACATTCAGACTGAAATAGAAACTCCAGTTCGATTTCATTATCTACCAAAGGCATTTTGATTTCATGGCCTGAGTCAAAGGATATAGTCCTAGGCCTAAGTTCAGTATCTGTCTCATCAGCTCTAGTGTCATTATCATTGCCATTATAGGATTATTATTATTATTAATTAATATTATTATTAGTATTATTATTATTATTATTATTATTATTATTATTATTATTATTATTATTATTATTATTATAGCAGCAAAATATATATCAACTAATCCCAAAAATAAAGTCTACAAATCAATTACAGATAAATAGAAAATGCGCAAATATATTCCAAATGTGATGCAATGGAGCATAATTGTTCAAACATAATCGCCTTGTAAGCTGAATGATTTACAGCAAATTAAACGTGCAGTCATATTACACGATATTACATTCACGTTAAGTGAGCGCGTATCAGGCTACGCACTGAATAACAGCCAGTCACAGGTTCGTATTAAACAAGCATGAATTGACCAATATTGGTTGTCAAACAAGAGCATACAGTACGTTCTGAAACAATCGCCCACCTTACATTCTACTTGATATAGATTGATGATAAACATAGCCTACTCTTCGAGACAAATTGCACAACGAAGCACTTACCTTGTGTATCTATGCTTTACATTGCTTCTTTTGACAAGCTCGATGTATTCTTCAGTGTCTAAGGATAAAAACAGATTTATACAAATTATAATAACACATTTTAACCTAAATAAAAAAAAATGTTTTCTGCTGTGATTCAGCTTTTAAAAAGGGATGGAGATTATTTTGCGGGGCTTCAGTGTGGCGCTATTTGGAATAGAGCGTTAAAAATATACACCATGAGGGTTTTTCAATATAGAATAATGCATCTCCATAAGCCTATTCGAGATAAGAGGCTTAGCAAAAAAGAAAATCACATTTTGTGTACCATTTATCCGACTAGAACGTTGCGCTTCGATGGAGAGAAATGATCATTATTAGATTGTTTACGTTATGCAATATACAATTCTAATTCATATTAAAATAATCTACGAAAGTGATGCATGCTATAGTAAAATGGAAGTATAGTCATAACTGTTAACTGTGTTTCTTTTCTTTTTTTTTCTGGAATATTGATTTTTGTAGACCTATGCTACGTCGCTGGTTTCGTCTGCAATATAGCAATACCATGTGGACGTTAAAGAACGTGTACACACCGTTATTGCTATTTTATTGTTATTATTCATTTGTTATTTATCTATTAACAATGTATGATTCATTATTTCCTCTTTAATTCATGAGCAACTAAACAAGATTCATTTGTCTTAGAGAGCAGCTAGATCAGTCGACTGGACCAGTCACTGCGCGTGCGCTGAACCTTGGAAATCTCTTGGTTCCCGGTTCAATTCCCTCACTGCTCTTTCCATGTATTTAACTTAAATACAAGTTATATTACGAGTTACGCACCGTCTTTAAGATGAGGCGTTTAAGCCGTTTGTCCCGTGATGTGCATTATGGCCCATGTGCACGTTAAAGAATGCAGTAAACTCATCGGAAAAGAGTAGGGGATTGTCTCCTGGTGTACTGCTCAATTCACCACCAGAAGGACACCACAGGAAAGAAATCTACAGGCTTAGTGGGTTATCCTTGGTGTGATTCACACCAAAATACTCCGACTCCTACAGTTTCGGATGTTGTTAGTTAAATAAATCACATCTACAAAGTTATTCCTAGAGTGCTGCCTCATTATTACCTGTTATTAATAATAATTTTTGATAGATAGGATTATTATTTTATTTTACTATTCATGTATTCAAGACTAAACATCGGTCATGTTTTCGTCGGCACTTTAAACTGTCTTGTGATCCGGCTGTCAAACTTCATATCGAATAATGTCGATCATTGTTCTGAAATCGATTCAATATTCTCGTCACATACGTATCGCATCATGATTTGTCGGATGGTTTTATGGTGATTACTGAAAAAAATAACGCCACGATTATCGTGGTCTTAGTCTAATTATGCGTTCCATGAAACTATTAATATTTCATGTCGGTATTGTTCACTCAATCAAACTTGACAATAAATCGGCATTTAATATAAGCCAGCTATATTATTATTATACTTTTTCATAGAGAATTTATGATTTCTTTTCTTTTTTCTTGTCTTACCAGTATCGTTAATAAATCATTTGCGTGTACGGGATGCTGTGGCGCCGACATAGTTTGTTTTAAATCAACAGCCCCAAAATACATCTCCAAAGGTGTAAAAACGTCTAAATCAAACTATAGTAATAATCTGAATTTTAAGGCGCACAGTTGCCACCGCGCTTACGCCGTTGGGGAAACACTCGAGGCTTATAATCATCTTCAACACAACATGAAAATATGTAGGCCTATCATGATCAAACAAGTCAGATATCTTCAACTGAATTGGTTAACTGAAAATAATTGTTTAATTTATAACAATATTTGGATTAACGAATATCAGATATACTAGGCCTAGGTCATAATATCAACGTGTGTAAATTTTTGTAACATTATATAACTTGCATCCGTATCATTGTCTATGTGTTCTGTCCACCAGAGACGGTATCTTAACCCTAGTAGCACGTCTTATTTAGCCTGTGATCAGTGGCCTATTTCCGTTCTCGTTCAATGTCATAGCTAATATAATTATTTTCTGATGAAAGGATAAATGTATTTTAATCGGTTGATTATTCACAATAATGGCATGATATACGACTCCGAGCAAATTAAATCGAGCCAAACTGCAAATATTTCCTAATTACAACTGTCAACATGCACCTGCTGCCTACCGTCAGAATGCTACCGATATTAGGCCTAAACGATAATCAGTTTGGTTCGTAGAGGTGTCGGCAATCATTTATTAATAATACAGGTCTACCTCTAATTAAGGACCCTCCAATTAAAGACCACCTCCGATTAAAGACCAATTTTCTGTGGTCTAAAATTTATTTTATTATTGTTATTAAGAGACCAAAACTGCTAAGACCACCGTGAAAATCCCGGTCCCAAAGTGGTATTTAATTGGAGAGAATTCATGTACAATGATACCAATATTTATGCCAAAACAACAATAAACGGAACATAAATCATTACGAAGGGATATTTGGAAATATAGTGAACATGAATAAGGGAATTAGAAACTTCGACAGTAAAATCCAGACCACGAAATACATTCTTGAATTTTTACATAACCGAAGCTAAATAAGAAAACAGAATCATTGTATTAATTTAGCAGTTTATCCGCATAACAAAATGTTGCCGGTATCTAACTCGTTCGACATTCCAAGATAGATTTGATTTAATTCCCAAAGGCCTACGATATGCATTGGAATTTAATTGTATTTAGTTTTTGTGAAAATTATATTACGCATGCATGGAATACTTAAAAACTACGTTGTTGTTGACCCTCAAAATAGTAACAACAATAGTAATAATTCTTTATTGGTCCTCACTCTAATAGGAAATCGGAAATTCGCACTGGGCCCCTGGGGATCCGCAGCAGCCGCAGTGCAGCGCCACCCAACTTAACTTAACGGACACATACATATACAAACATAACCCGCCTCCTAATATGAGGGTATTTCGAGGAGCCAAGCGATCGGACCCAACGCTGGCCGGGTTTCAACCGGTGTCTTCAGCACAAGAAGCAGGAACAAAAAATTCTCCGCCAACCGCTCAGGTTTACATCTAGAAAGATTTCTTTTTTTTTTTATTTATGGTATATAGAATGGTCATTAAATGTAAGAGCATTTCTGTGACATGAATATTATGCTACATATATATAATTTTATTACTTATCAAGCACACGATATACGTGCAAGGATATAGTGTAAAGTCAAAATGTTGTTTCCCAAGCGGCGATGCTGAGGGCCAACATTTTGTAACACAAACAATTATTAAATTTAGTCAAAGACTACCGCTCATGAGGAACACTTCCCGACAATTATAAGAAAAATTGCGTTAATATCTTATTCTGCCTACGAGGTTTTACAACAACGTTTTACTAACAAACACTTAGATTTCACGATTTAATAAAGGTTAACGTATGCGCGCACATTGGAATCGGTCAGAAACCGTGTATGTAAATACAGGTATTAAGCTTGGTTTACACATGGTTTACATTAGAGCAATTCAGACGAGATTTGACGCAAATGCTGCACCAAGTTAACACAGCCGATTTGTAGTGTGAACAACTTGAATCAGGCGCGTATTAATGCAGTCATCAAAAAGTTGTCTGACGCAACCTAACGCATGTAAGCTTCGATGACGAACGCATGCACGCGAAATGGGAATACGGCAACGTTCTCTCAGAAGTTGTTTTGTAGACGTTTATCTGTTGATGACCTTTTGACCTCCTGAATTTTGCAATTATGAGATTTTCGGGTCGATTCAGTCGAGACGGCCCGAGTGGAGTTTCATGTAAATGTTTCGTACGGGAAAAAAAATTGCATACGACAATAGTGTTTGCGAAAACACTCTCTCGTTTGAGTTTAAAACGCGTTTAGACGCGTGAACCAAAAAGTATGCATGTGTCAGCCGATAAATACTTCAGGATTATAATGCAGACAAACAGAAAAATGTCTGCTCTACGTCGACATTAATTTAATACGATTTCAGCTCTTACGAATTCATAAATTAATTTCATCCGTACATACACCAAATTAAAGAAATAACAGAAAAATAGTATACAGCTATCCGTTCTACTTTGTTTAAGAACTAGACCTAGTTAAATGCTAAAGCTTGAAGATCCATTAACCTCACCCGTAACCGAAGCAGACGTTGGATATTGAAATATAGGCCTACTAAGCATACGGTTATGTTCCCTGTTATTTTTTCAAACAGATATTACTAACGAAAAATGTTCTCAAAAGTTGGTTACGCGGCCTGGCAAGAATATATATATATATATATACTGTCTCAAGCCTACAACTTGTACTAATTTGTTTTTAATATAGTTTTATAATATTTAATGACGACAAAATAGATACAGTAGATCACCTGTGCCATATTGGATGTGCGAAAAAAAGACCAGCATTCTGAAAACGTGATAATTTCTAGGTGAAAATGTCAATAACATTACGTTTACACGTTTGCATTTCGACAATACGCAATAAATACTCGTTAAAAATAGGGAAAAAAATGATTACATGCAAAACAGATGAAAGTAATATCGAATCATTGGTGAAACATATATAACTCAGCATAGTTTTCTATAGGAGAGCACGCCTGATGCGTTTTATAACTAGCAATATCCTCGAAAACGTCTTATGGTGTTTAGAAACGTATTTTGTGGAATTTATTGTCGCGTTTATGGCATAGGTTGCATCGTATAGCAGATGGATAAGAGCACGTATAGTAATAGGCCTACATTCAATGTAACCACAAATAGGCCTAAGTATCAAACATTTCGATACTAACTCGGTAGCGGATTATATATACGTGTCACTAATAAAAGTAGATACGATCCTACAATAATTACAAAAAAATACTAGATTTTCTCGATAATAAAATGGTTTCGAAAAAAAAAAACAAAGACTTCACATTTGTAAATTATGAATATATGATACAGCGATTATATATTTGATTATCGGCTATTGGGGACATTCAATAACAAGCTATGGTCAGCGGTGACTCCAGAAATTTTTCGACAAGGGGTACGACATGTTCGACA